TTTGTGCTTAATTTAATCATATACTTAAGTGTTTTTTTCATAGTGACAGACATAAGCATTATCCTAATTTACAAGCATGTAGTTTTAAGCTCATGCTTAAGTGTTTTGTGAAACTAGATCTTAGATTCTAAACAGCTGGCCTGCTACAATCTTTAGTTTAATTTATTCCATAATGCTTGCAGTAGTCTCTAAATTAATGGATTATATTAATAGATTCATAGATGTTAGGGTCAGAAGGGACCTCAGTAGGTCATCAAGTCTGACCCCCTGCCCTGGGCAGGAAAGACCGCTGGGGTCAGATGATCCCAGCTAGATGCTTGTCCAGCCTCCTCTTGAAGACCCCCAAAAGTTACTTCTTTTTTTTCTTTTGTATTCTTAAAAATAGAGGCCAGTGCATACTAACATTAATCATTTGATTTGTCCAGCTTATTATCTTGTGTCCAGACAGGTTCTAAAAAGTAGTGGTTCACTTTCCTCATATAATTGTGGAGCTGGTCTGTAACTGCACTGCAGTCTTTTCCCTGATGAATAATCCTTTTATTTCCTTGTAATCTTCTTTTCTTCATTCCCAGGACATTTCTTCCTGATTACTTATGGTTAAAAACAAATACACACAATTATCCTCCCAGGTCTCTAAGTACATTACAGCATTCTATTTCCCCTAGAATTTGATCTGCTAATTTACTCAAATTGAAATCTTTGCTTACTAATTTTCCTTCCCTTGATAGATATAGATACCTATACTTGATAGATATATATCTATATCCATATCTATATAAATTCAGGATTCAAATTACACACTTACTCTTGTGGGGGGTCTGCAGTGGTGGCAGCCATAAGCTAGAAGGAGCTGCCACCACTGCCTGAGCTGGTTAGAAAGGCATGGGGTGGGCTTGTAGCTCTCTTCTCTTATATAGGGGCTTATGGGGGCTCTTGTCTTTTATGGGGGGGGAGGGGGCTCAGCCCCCCCTGAGCCCTCCTGTATTTCCAACCCTGAGTAAATTGTTGATCTTTTTTTCCACACTTACTATTTTCCCTGTTTTTTTAATTACTAGGCACTAAAGTTCTAACTTCATTTTTGGCAGAGAGCATATCTGCACTGCAAGTACCATCTTTGTGAGTGTCCTGTTTAGAGCATAATTCTCTCCTGATGTAGGCTATATTAAAATACAAGTCCAAATACTTATGCACATGCTTAATTTTACATATACAGCAGGGGCTACCTGTGGGGTCCAAACCTTTATAGGAATGGGTCCAAGGCTTTCAGTATTGGAGGATATGGTTACAATCATGCCTACGTTACAGAATGGTGTCTCTTCTGTCTTTGCAAATACATTTATTTTGATAGCTACATTTTAACATGTTGCATGGTATAAATGTGTGCCAGAAGAATAGATTATTGAATGTTTTTGTACTCTGCTGCTGTAACATTTCAACACTTGAAATTACTTTCTTGCTTCTTTAAAAATTACATACCTAAGGGTTTAGTATTAAGAGTATGTTCTTTAAGGTGAAAGTTTGTCATTAATGGTCACAGTAATAACTGATATTACCCAGATGTTTTCAAGTATACTTTGGATGGTTTCTATAGATAAAAGTGACATTGATGTGTACATTTTTTTAAGATTCAGTTTATCATTTGGTATAATTGTAAATATGCCTACGGTGTTCTTAGTTTTTATCATTGTTTGTACAAGAAAGGGATGTGCTAGTTTGCACCATGCAGTCACTCCAGATATAGGATGTGATCATTAGCTGGTGTAAATCAGCATTGACCTGCTGAAGTTTAACATGTTTATAGTGACTTACACCTTCAGAGGATTTGGTCCACATTGTTTACATATGCCATCTATTTCAAATACGGATATAGAAGAACCCCTGCATAAATGATGAACGTAGCAGCTCATTTCAGCAACAGCTTCTGGAGAATATATGCTGTCGAATCATCATTTGTGTACAAAGACCTATAATGAATCGTATGGTTTGGTCAAATATATTCCTATTTTACTTTCAGTTTACCTCTTTCTAGAGAATGCTAATCAATTTTTCAGGCAGTCTCTTCTTTGCAGGTAGCTTCATCAGCTCCTCTGTTCCTGAAGACCTGGGCTCTGGAACAAGAGGGCATTTTTGTGAGTTTTTGTGACTAAGTCCACTGTGAATATATGTGTGTCTTTAAAAAGAAATGTTGCAAATTTTCTAGTGCCCTGCAATTAATAAGTTGTAGAACTGGGAACAGATCCAATGAATCTTGATTCCTAGCTCATGTTTAATCTTTAAACCTTTATTCTGAGCTCTTCTCCCAACAATAATTTAAAAGTTTGCACTGCGTGTACCAGAAAGATCAGTGAATGTGCTAGCAAAATATCTGCAAAAATACCTTTAAACTTAAATGAACAAATGTTTTAAATTGATTCTGCACTTCACATGTGGGCAAAACTGAAACAAGGTGAGGAGTGTATGCCTCTCCCATACGTTTCTGTCCATGATGCTATAAAATTCCAGCTTTCAAGAGCTGGTGGCAAGCTTCATTCCTGAGATCAAACAGTATATATTTTCTAAAGTTTTGAAGGTCAAAAGAACTTTCTGTTTAGCTACAACTGGCCTGGTAAGTGTGTATTACTGAATACAGCCAGGAGGGAAGCATCAGTGGCAGACTGAATGGCAGTGCTGTGGACATCGCATATTTTTTTTGTACATGCTTTGGGGAAGCTTGCACTGAGAGCCAGCACTTGCATGGTGTTTATGGAAGTGAAGGGACTACACTGGCTAGTCTATGCTCAGAGATCCCAGGGAAAGCCCCTGCACTCCAGGACTGGGTGCAAGTTTATCCTATTCGTGAAATCTAGTGATGTATGAAAAATAGTGTTTAGCTGTTGATAATGCCCTGTCTCCCTCCCAGAACCCCAAAATGAGTTAATTTGTGCTATGATTATTTTAAAATGAATGAGATTATTACTAAAAGTGTGGTTTTGGGCTAGTTAAAATACTTTTAGTGGTCCTTTTCCTGTTGTTCTACAGATCATTCATAACTATGACTTTTTTGCATACAAGATAAATAAGCCCTGAATCAGCAAAGTACTTATATTTGTGCTGAGCTTTCAACACATGGGTTTCATAGTTTCATAGTTTCTAGGGTCAGAAGGGACCTGAGCAGATCATCAAGTCCAACCCCCTGCCATGGCAGGAAAGAGTACTGGGGTCAAATGACCCCAGCAAAGTGTTCATCTAGCCTCCTCTTAAAGACCCCCAGGGTAGAAGCCAGCACCACT